AAAATATAGCACTCTAGCTCACGATATAAGTGTTTAAAGTGACTAGATGGTTGGGGAAGTGATTACAAGGTTATTGGGAGTTCTTATGGTTGAAAATTGACCTAGGCTCACTTGAAAAAAATACAAGGAATCTAATGGTCCAAGTTATTTTGGCTAGTTAAAGCTTTTATGAAAAGATATGATCAGTCACAGTAGGCCCAACCCCTTGGAAGAGAAAATCATGAATTTCGAGCAAAATATTTAATCAATTTTATTGATCCAAATTACATATTTTTGAATTTAGAACAAATTTAGTTTAAGTTTCATGTTGAATTGAAGTCATTTTGAGATGGTTATGGTCAAATTATCATTTTATTACAATAATTGGCATTTTCTCTCTTCTAATTATCGTCTGCTCAATGGGCTTTCAAAGGGAATGGAATATAATAGTGGAGGGACTCATTTGAAAACCTTAGTTGATACAGACATAAAGAAGAAGTCCATTTTCAAAAATAATCATTTGTTGAAAAATATTTATGTAGGATCACTTTCATGCATAAAAACTCTAAATGAATAATTTTACGTGAAAATGATATTTGATGACCCCCAAGCTTATTTTCATTATTTTCATAGGTAATCATGAAGGTCATGCAACTTAAAGTATGTAATTTAGATCACTTGATTGACTAATGGAAGAAAATGATAATCTTAGGGTTTATGTTGATAATCGTCACACATGAAAATTTGACTTAAAGAGCTTTATGTAAAAATTATGTTAGTCAATCATTTTACTTCTTTGTAGGTATTTATAAGTGATAATATAACCCATTCATCTTTAAAAAAGAAGATTTGAGTCCTACAATCATCTCAACAGAGAAAATAATAATCTTGGGTTTCAATGATTAAAATTATTTTTAGAGCTATCTCCCAGTTTGGTTAAAATTATTTGTGTTTAAAGGCTTTTCATTTACTTTTTATTTTATAAAGTTAAAATTTTAATTCTCTTAAAGTTAGGGTTTGCAAAGACCTAGCTCAAGTGAAGTTCAGTTAAGCTTAGGCTAGGAAAATAGGATTGACCAAAAATGAGCTCAACAAAGAGAACCCCAATATGTGTGGTGGACTACATAAAGTACAGTAAGACATGAGTCAATTTTATGGGAATAATTCAAGCATGAGTTGCTTTATGAGTTGAACACAATTTTTTGAACAAACGTGAATGTGCGTGAATGTGCCCAAGGCTATCAAAAAAACACAATTTTATGCTTTAACACCTCTTCACATTTACTCCCCTTTGTTGTTAGGATCAATAAATAAATTTTTTAAGCTTGTTTACTTAACGAATAATTTAAGCATGAGTTGCTTAATGAGTTGAACACAATTTTTCATGAACAATGAGTTTTTTTTATAGCCCTACCATGAGTTAGGATTGGGCATAAGGTTTTTTTTTTATCTTTTGGGCATTTAACTATATAACAACCCATTTTAATCTATTTACATATCTAACACCTATATTTTAATTTTTGCATTTGTACCAGCCAAGTCTCTTATATTCATTTTCTTAAAAAAATAGTTTTAAAAAATTAATATAAAAAATAAGAATGAGTAGAACACGGGGTACTGATACATCTAAAATATATAGAATTTTTATATACATTTTATGCCTATTTTTGAGATATTGCACTTTAATGAAATATATTTGTGTGTTTTTCTTGTAGGTACAATCAAATAGATGAAAAATGGTAAAAGAAGTGTCGAAAGGGTCAAATTTGAAGCAAAAATGAAGAAGGTGAAAAAATGAACTAAGGTATTCAGGATTGGCGCTTACGCGCCTCAGGATTGGCGCTTACGCGCCAATTATACAGAGAGAGTTGCGCCTAAGCACCATGTACCCCACGCTTAAGCCCAAAAAGTATTTATTTGATGATTCATTGAATTTAGATGAATTTTTTAAGAGGTGTTTGAAGCAACCCTAGGTAAGAACATGAGAAATAGCCCATGGATACAAAAATTCATTCAATTGACTTTTGAAAAGATGCAACTTCTAGAAGATTTATTGAATGAAGACGCATTTTGAAGGCACCAATGCACCTTTTGGATTTTTATAAAAAAATTTGGATCATCAAACAAGAGAGAGCCAGCCAGTCCCAACAAACAGTCATCATCCATCCAAGTAACCGCCGTCACCGCCGCCCATCGCTACCACCGCCGCTGACCCCTTTTCTTTTTATTTTGAGTTTTGGTTTGTATTGTAAGTGAAGGAAGAGAATTCAAATGAACTTTAAGATATTTGGTGGAGAGAATTTGAGATAAGTGTTTATGTTTTTTACTACATTTTGTTTTAATTTGGATTTCTTATTTGTGTGCATGAATTCTACCTTTAAACTCAAGTGTGGATGTGTTTTCTTCATGAATTCTAAGTATTTTTCTTTATCTTTTTCTTTAAAATGATAAATAATTAAATATTAAAAGGAAGTTGTGTGAAGTATTAGACTTCAATGTTGGAAGGATTGTGATGATTTGAAACCTTGTACTTCATTTACTTTTTGATTTGGCCAATTAAGATGTTAGTACACGTTGTGAGAACAAGTAAGATCCGAGATGATATTGTCTCAGTCAACAAATGGTAAGAATCACATTTGATTTCATGGATGAAAATGTAGTTCATGTTAAGTGAGTGCAAATAAATATGGAAATAAACTTTCATGGAAATAGAATTATAGAACTTTAGAGTGACAAACTAAAGCCCCCAATTTGATTTATAGTTTTAGGTTTTGATACGAGATGGTAGCCCCCAGTTGGAGGGAGAAGAGGGAACTCTATAGTGAGAGCTAGTATCTTTCCTACATAACCGGTCTTCAAAATTATTTAAACTATAGATTAGCTAATGTTCCTTATAGAATCTCTAATAAGGGTAAAGAATATTATCGCTTCTATTTGGCATAACACATTTAGAATATTTCCACAACAAAATTTTTATATTTGTTACTGATTCATGATAAGAAAAATATATTTTATTTATATTGCCTTCATCTTGCAAGTATTTAGTTAAATTAATTAGTTGCTTACTTTATTTAGGTTAAGAAAAAAAATATTACAAAAATAATTAAGTTTCATTCCTATTATAGCATCTTTAATTTAAGTAAGAAAATTTTGCTAAGTAGAAAATTTGTTATCTAATTTCTTTTGTTTTGTAGAGTGCATCTTGTCAAATTTTTCATGTGGGCTCGATATTTGAGGCTTAATAAAAAACTCTTATATTACTTGATAATGATACGTATACTTGTGTAGTATCCCATAATTAAATATTATAACTTTATTTTTGTTTGGTTCATAGTGAAAAATTTACCTAGCTTTTGCTTGGGATCAAATTTTTGGCTTGGTTGCAAAGTAAGAATCATTATTAAGGAATTTATCCACATAATCACATACATCGCAATAAACATCTATATAGAAAGTCGGGATCAGGTACTTAACAAGCCGAACACGAGTTCTCAATCTAGAACGATGAACTTTTTTGACATCTTACCTGTGATGACATCCTTGTAGGACTTAATTGTCTGAATGAGTACTCTTCTCGGCTTCAATATTTCTCTTAATTAGGTCCTATTTTATATCTTATTTTCATCCACCATGTCACAAATTTTGATTTTCTTACTTTCCTGTAACCATACAATGATTATATCTGTGATATGGTTGGTGTAGCTCCTATGAAGGACAAAATTAGAGAAAGTCGTCTTAGATGGTTTGGTCACATTAAGCGTCGACCATGTGATGATCCGATTATGAGAGTAGATGTTTTAGATTTGACTTATATTGAGAAAGGCAGAGGTAAAACTAGGAAGACTTGGCCTTATTGTATAAAAAATGATCTTAATTTATGAAAACTTATTGAAAATATACACCAAATAGGGCGCAATGGAGAAAAAGGATTCATGTAGCCGACCCACGGAAAAGATATACTTATTAGAACTTCAGTAATGTATATATCTAACACCTAAATTTTGATTTTTACGTAGATGTGCCGCTGTTTCTATGCAAGAAAAGATGGAATTTACTTCTTTGAAATTGACTAGTGACAATTTTGATGTGATATGAATTATTTTAGTGATATAGATGTAAAGTGACAATTCTGATGTGATATGAATTATTTTAGTGATATAGATGTAAAAATCTAAGGTTTGGTATTAAAGATGTAAACACACAGAATTTGAATGCTATGTATTTAAATGCAACACAACTAAAAAGAATGGCCACAATTCTTAGTGCAAGGGGATGCTCACATTACTAGTTATGTACTGAATCATAATTTAAAACTTTAGCAAGTAAAGCAATACAAATCCTCTTTCAATATGAGGTTTGGAAGAAATGTTCGGCAGGTTTTCAAAATAGCACAGCATTGTAAAAACATCCACCCAAATTATACAATCTTTCTTATTTTGCAATTGAAAAACTTTCTCAAGATTATTACTTTTTCTCCAGATTAATATTAAATATTAAATAAAAAAAACCTTTTTCTTGCGTTCGAAACCAAAAGAAAATGTCAATAATGAATCATAAGCTCATGGGTTGTTTCCCACATATCAAACTGGGTTCGAGAGAATAACCAGAGCACTGCAACTAAATCTTGCGCCCTGGCAAGCAATTCCTTCACCCAAACAAAAAATGCAAACAAAATAAAGCAAAATTCCATATTTTCAAATATAAATATATATATATGAACAATGAGGATGAAGCAAATGTACCATGAATGGTATAGACAACAGAGAAAAAGCAGAGCAGCCCCTGAAAACCCTTCATATAGGTAGGGTGCGAGGCATTATTGCCTCATAAACTCTGTACCAACAGAGAAAAAGCCCAAAAAGGTTTCAAGGCAAAAGAACAAAAATGAAGAGGAGACCAGCTGAGCTCGTCAATTCTATACCTACATCAACAAAAGCTACGAACTGGCCACCCTTTTCCATCAAAAAGAAATGAAAAAGAACCAAATGAAACAACTAACACTATTTGTGCAAAAGAGGAGAACTCCGGGGACCTGACAGCCAATCCCTCTGAAAAATTCCCCTCCCTGTAATAATAGAGGTGCCCCATCACCTCACGCCTGTGATTGCAGTTCACGTGCGCCGACGAACGTTCCGTGGAACCCGTACGGCACCCTCGACGGTAGCCGCACCGACGCCTCCATCCTCATGTCTGCGGCGTTGACTATAACCAGCTCCGACGTCCCCTCACTCTCGTCGTGTACGAAGGCCAGGACATATCCGCCGTCCTCCCGCTCGCCCCCCTCCCGGGGGATGAAGTACGGCTCCCCCCCCAACCTCTCTCCCACGCATTTGCATCCGTGCCGTATTCGAATCTCTGAACCTCGCCGCTGGCTAGATCAACTTTGGCAAACCCCGACACCTTTGGCCATGGCTCCGCAATCGCGAGGTACGCAAACTTGGTCTTTCGCCCCAGCCTGTTGCGGTTCACCATTCCGGCCTCCAGATTTATCTGCGTCTCCCCGGCTCGAAGAACCGGCCGTCGGCTTGATTTCCCCGTGCGGAGATTAAGCCGGATTTCGGTCAGCACGCTCCGGAGATTCTCCTCCGACTCGTTAAAAATGGAATCGGGTGGGGTCATGCAGGAGCCGATAACGACGACTTCCTCTGTTTCCGGTTCTTCCCATGAGTTCCAGAGGTGGAAGCAGAAGCAGTCCGGCACGTCGACCCACCGCATCTCCGACGCGTCGACGGCGTATTTGGGAAGCACGCCAAAGCGGGCGATTTTCTCCTTGTCGTAGACCACCGGGGAGCCTCCGCAAAGCATTTCTTGAAGCTTGAAAACAACCTGCTGGTCGGGGACGATGACGAAATTCTTCGTGATGGCGAAGTCGTGCATCATGGTTGGTTGCGTTAGAGGAATTTCTACATCCGGAGATTTCTCTCCGCTCGGTGAGAAGCGGAAGTACCTCAAAAACGGTTTTTTGATCACGTCGTAGCTGAGTGCGAACAGCTCGCGAGTCTCCGGGTCGAGCTTCGGGTGCGCGATCATGGTGGAGGTCAGTTGCCCGTCGAAGTCGAAACGCCCAACTGTCTCGAGGTCGCCGTTAGGGTTGATGCGGACATGGTACGGTAGGTCGTCCTCCGACATGGCGAGGAGGCGGTTGTTGAAATAAACAAGACCGGCGTTGGCGACACCTGTGCCGCGTGAGGGATCGACGAGGCCAAGGACGCCGCGGGCGTAGAAGAGGAGCAGTCGAGCGATACCGGAGTGGCCGTGGAGCTCTCCGATGGCTTTTGGGAAGATAGCACGCCCCACTGCGCGCTCTTGCATCAGCCGTTCAGTTTCCGTAAAGCGGCAGGCGTAGGATGCGCGGCCGTTGCGGAGTTGGACGGCGTGCACCATGCCGTCGCCATCAAAAAAGTGGTGACCGGCGACGGGTTCGTAAAGCGGGTTGGCGCCGTTGCGTAGGTATACGCCGTTAATGAAAGGTGGGATTCGGCCGTCCACCGGAAGATCATGGTGCGGCTGCTGTTCCCCCACGGGGGCGAAGTTGCCGGCGATCTGGACGGCGGGGTCTGCGGTTTTCGGGAGGGGGTGACCGCGTTCAAGCACGTTAGCGATTAAACCGTCTTCCACGGCATCGAGCACGGCGGCGGCAGCTCGTTGGAAGATGTTCCATTTGGGCCGGGACGACTTGCTGGTGGGGGATGGGAGGATTGTCCGGGGGGTGGAGGGCGTTGAAGGTAAAAAAGGAGCGGGCTTGGCGATTTCGAGGACGGAATTAGAAGTACTGGAGCAATGGATTGGTCCGGCGATTTCCCGACGGCTTCGGACTGATTTTATTGAATTTTGTCGGATGAGATGGGATGGCCTGGAGCTCTGTTTTAACCCGAGGATTTGGGGATTTACTGTTTGATTGCTACTGGAGGACATGAACAAGGACATGGAGGACGCCATGGCTTGTTCAAAAGACTTTGGAAAGGAACAAAACTTTGAACTTTGCTTTGCCCTTCTTCTCTGTGTATTGATTTTTTCTTTTCTTTTTCTTTTTTTTTTTTTCTTTTTTGCTTTCACTGCGGCTGATGGCAGTGGGAAGTAGAAGGCAGGAGGTGGGAAAATGGAGGTGGGGGATGTGGAGTTATATATAGAGTTTGGGTGCGCAGGACTGGCGGAGAAAGGAGACGGTAGGGATTTACAGTTTCCCCACTGAAAGAAAACCACGTGTTGCATTATCAGGAGAGGGAAAATTGGGGATCTCCAGACTTGTCTTCTCACTTTTATGTTAATTACGCAGTAATGGACTGATTATAAGTTAATAAGGTTTTAAAATTTTATATTGGAACTGGTTAAAGATGTCGTATTGGGATGTTCTGATCCGATTGACACGATTGTGGGCTCAGGTGACTCTGTCTTTCGCATGTCCTTTCTCTCTATGGGAGCCCATTTTTACCATTTTCGCTAACATCCGCACATGCCTTCTTTTTGGTGAGAGATTACTGATGAAAAGAGGTTTAACCGATTTTTAAAAAAATCCAAAATTGCAAACTTTTTTTGTAGCTCTTTGCCTCTTTCAATCTAATTTCTAAATATATCCCAGTAAAAGAACTATTTTTAAATTTCTACAATTTGTGAAATGTTAATAGAATTTACTCCCATGTGCAAAAATGTGAATATATATATATATATATATATATATATATATATATATATAATATATATAGAGATAGAAAGGAACAGATTGTTTTGGTAAAGATTGATTAAAAATTCTAAAGAAATGTTTTGTTCTGAAAATGTTCATAGAATTTGAATTATTTTGATCTGAATGTGCGCTGAACAAAACAAAATTCATAAAAATATTGAAATAATTGACACCGTTGAAACCTATAAGAAAGGCGCACAGGACCAAGGCAAAAGAACACAGTCGAGATCATTGAAAGCGAACTTAAGAGCGCAGTTAAAAAATGAACTATTAATTAAGGATTGCCAAATATATTACAAATATTACAACTAGTTATTTTTATTATTTTTAAATATCTTAAGAGTATAAACGGCCAAATAAAAACACCAATTATGAACATCAAAATCATTAAAAATTCCTGTATTTTACTAAATTAAAATATTACTAATAGGTCCACCACTAAAAACGAGTTTAAATATTTTATAGATGACTGAATAATAGACTATAATTTGGCGCAGCTACTCTCAAAATGTACGTTAATTAAGCAGTATTGCAAATTCTATTTGGGTTCAACAAATCAATGCTATTAAATCCATGGCCAATTTGCCTGCTTCTGTATATTACAAAGAGAGCACATTGTCACCTCCCAAAAGAGCCTTTAAGAGAGGTCGGCAGCCCAAGACTTAAATACTGCTTTTCGGCCCTACACCTAGCCGATGTGGGATTATTTGTCCGTGACATTCTCCTCCACCCAATCACGTGATACCCTCGTCACGGATCGGCTCCACGGAGGATCCCACTGGACCATGGGGAGTCCACACACCTGATAGACAGTAATTTGCTCTGATACCACTTGTCACCTCCCAAAAGAAGCCTTAAAAGAGGTGGGCTGCCCATGACTTAAATACTGCTTTTCAGCCCTACACATAGCCGATGTGGGACTATTTGTCCGTGACAACATGCACTAAAAACGAACTCATGAAGTGATCAACCATAAAGTCCACAGAGGATCTAAAATTAGAATGGGATAATTACATACACAACATTTGAAACATTGCT